TGTTCATGCAAAACTGTTCATGCAATAGCTACATACTTAATGAAATAGTGAATTTTGTGCTACATTAGACCACAGTAAGCTTTCATACTGTATTGATTGCTTTTTCTTGTGTAATTTTCAAACCCAGATCAAGTCTGCTAATTAAGCTCTCCCTGGCCAGAAGCTCTCTTGGATCTCTGACAGTTCCTAGTTAAAGCCCAGTTTGTGGTTTTTGACAGCAAACCAAGACCCTCTTGTTTGCTTCAGGAAAAGTGGCTGCTTTTAGCCCCTGGCATGATTCTGTGGGTACCTTCATCTCAACAAGTCACCAATTGTCTTGGCCATGACTTAACAGTTGGACCAGATTTTTTTCTTGGTCATTTTCGCTTGAGAAAGACTATAAAAGTAGGGATAAAATTATCGTTCATTTGGCTTTAGTTTATGAGAAATTATCTCAAAAGCAGGAACAGGTGGTATATTGAGAAGACCAAACGATTTGAATTAATACATATGTGCTTGGGTATATATTTTAATTCTACTTATTGTTTCTTAAGGAAAGACCTCAGTGAATTAAAACCACCATAGACAAGTGATAGTTTAGAAAATGAAATGCTTAAATTGTACTTTTTCTCATAATGGTTCTTATTATGGATACTATTTAATTCTTACAATTTTGTTTGCTTTTGGATATATTAGGAAACAGGAAAAGAGACTGAGACAGAGAAGTTCAGAACATTTATTATGCAATCTATCTCATCTCCCTTTTCATATATCCTTACCAGATAAACAAATGGTCTGAAATTGCCCATCTGCATGGTGTAGGGTTTGTAAGAAGTTTCATAGTACTTTAATGTTTTCCAATACGTTACCCAAATTAACTAGGGTTTAGCCCCTTGAAGAGCTCCAAAATAAGCTTGAAAGGAAATCACAAACCACAGGAAAAATAGAAATATTCCTTTTCCCCCCTATATAGTCTACTAGTGTCACTTAACTAAGACTACTTATTCTGTGACCTTGAGAAACTTAGACGCTAAACACGAGCAGTACAGTATGGAAGGGTATCCTCTCCACCACTACCTAAAAAGAGGGGCACAAATACCCTAACAGGTAAGTATTTTTATAAGTAAGGCAGATGGTGATTGAAGCAAAGGAGATTCAGAAGGGGGGGGTACAAAAGCAATAATTTTGAATGTTTGACATTTGTTTTGAAACTACCTTACTACCCTATACCCTTTACCATCTGTCTGTTATCCCTCCCAACACCCACCTCTGTCTTCCCACAGGGCTCCATTGTCTGCAGTTCCTGTTTCTCAGGGGCGGAGCTGTGGGAGGCAGCCATGGGTGCCATAATAGGCACCTGCGGCCAGCACAATGGGCTGTGGGTGCTTGTGGGAGAGACAGATTGATGTATTGTGCATGGGGGAGGAGGGCTGTCACTTGAATCCATGTGAACCCAGGCTTTAGGGGCAAGGGAGATTGACAGCTTTTGTAGGTTGCATTTCTTTTTCAAAGCTTGGCTTTAATAGACAGTAAGTTTGGGGCCCCAGGCTTTCACTCCCATAATTCTAACAGGGCAATCACGAGCATTCAGCATTTCTTTTTACCCCCCTTGTTACGCATTAAATGATTTCAGTAAAGGAATGTGCAGCATTAATTAGAATTTGTTAGCAGATACCAAGGGGAAAAGTTTCTTCACCACAACTATAGGAGGTGTCATTTGTACAAAGACTTTTTTGTTTTCTTTCCCCATTACATTATCACTGCAATATGTAAGGTAGTGATTCTTTTCATTTAAATTAAGTGGAAAGCTACTAAATCTTGTTTTATTCTCCAAAAAGAATAAGGTCCTTAACACTTATCTTTTAACTTCTTTCATTTCCTAAGGTTGGTGTTTACTTTTGCTTTCAGTCGGACCCATTTACTGGTCTGTGTGGTTGTGTATCCAGTTTTGTGAACCATTTAGCTCTTACAATTACAGGCTCTCACTGTACTGATAGATAGGAATTGTTACCAGGTGAAAATAGTTACCAATAATATTGGAAATCAATGACCCATCAGTCCCTTTCAATAATGGTAACATTGAGAAAGGCTCGAAATTAGATTCTTCTACTTTTATGCCTAAACTTGTTTTCCAAAATGATTTCTCCTTAGTCCATACTTCACCCTAAGTTTGACACCAAATTTATGGAAGAATGACAGTGGCCAAGGAATATCTTTTTTTTAATAGAAAATTCACTCTTAAACCACTCTTAAACCACTCTTAAACCATAGCAGTTGTTTTTAAACATCAAATGCCCCCCCACAGACAGAGATAGCATCTTTTCCTTATAGCTAAAACCCCCCCATCTCTTTGTTTTGTGTCTATTTTTATTTCTGACATGTTAGACCTAGATAAGAGCAAAACTAATGTCAGATAAGATGCATTGTGTAAAGACACTGAGTCACATGGGAAGCTGATAAAACATTATTAACATTTTGGGTATAATTCTTCAAATTTCTCTTCTGTATAAAATAATTTTTTATTCAGGGGGAGGGGTTGAAGGTTAATTGAATTAGATTTTTTTCCTATTTGCTTTATTTGAATGTGTTAAGGGCAACAGTGAAAAATATTGATTAAGGCTACCATTATTTCACAGCAAGAACATATTCCCACAGAGTTGTCTGGCTCTGACTATAATAATAATTTGGTGCAATGGCTTTAAAAGTAGTGGGGTGATAATAATTAGGGTGTTCGACAGAAATTTCAATACTGGATTCAACATTTCACCATGCAAGGCATGAAAATTGCAGACCGGGGGCTAGTCAGCTCTAAGTACTAATTAACTAATTAATCAGGTGCTGAAACCAACTGAATGGAGGATATCAGCCAGACAACTCAAGCCCCAACAGAGGGTTGAGCTCTTTTAAAAAAAAAAAACAGTACAGTCTTTCTTCTTGAGTTTTTAACCCAATCAGAAATGAGTAGGTTATGGTGTCCTCCTGTCATTCATTTGGGTCCAAGCTTTTTCCTTAGGGAAAATAAAGACATGTGCCTGTGATCCTAACTGTAAGACAGGATGAGTCCCGTAGCCTCAATGCCCTAGCAAATTCTCAGACTCCTAGCCAGGAAGTACTTCGAGATCTGGGGGACACAGTGTTGGGCAAGGGAGCTCTGCCTTTCTGGGGCTGAGTTTACAATATTTCAATCTAGGAGCAATGAGAAATAACCATTTGGGCTGATCCTAGGTCTTTTGCCTCATCCTTCGTTTATGTAAATGAGAAAGGTCCAATTACACATATGGAAAAAAGGTTTAATGAATCGTGAAAAAGCCTAGTTTACAGAGAAAGGGCACAATCCCCTCTTTTTCGTCTTCTTGTCTTTTAAGTTTAAGTTAGAAACATGTATTTCTTTTCAGGAAAATGATGAACCTGATGATTAGGTCATTTTATATACTAATTTTTATACTTGGGATTTATCAAATATGTTTTGATGGAAGATTGAGCTTCTTTTATATTTGTCCACAGGCCTATTCTGTATGTGTAGCAAATTATCCTATAACGTAAACTATCATTTTTTTTCACTTTCCCCATGAATTTGAAAAATGACTACATGTGAATTTCTCCCCTTTTCATGTTATTCTTAGCTTAGTGACAGTTGTTTTTTCTTCTTTTAATAGTTTGTTCTGGAATTGTCTGCAGTGCAAATGGATTGCATCATTATAAAGGAACTGATATTGAACTCAAAGAAAACACATTCGTTTGTTTCCTGCTTCACTTTTGTATTGGTATTTTTGCAATATTTTAAGGAACCATAATTTCAGGCTGGTGGACATGAGGGTTTTTTTTCTTCTTCTTCTTCTTCTGTCTTTCTTTCTTTCCAAAAGCGGCCTGGATTTCAGCCGTTCCTTACTCTGGGACTTTTAGGGGAGAAACGCACCACAGATAACGACTCCATGGCATTTTAATGACATAAACCTGTACAATAATAGTTACTCTTAGAATTTGCTCAGTATGCAAGTAGTCCCGAAGAAGTGTTTTGCAGGGACAGCAGGAAGGTTTTTTTCATCACAACTTTTAAGTGCTTTTCAGAGACTTAGCCCAAATACCTTAGTGGACACGAGGGGGAAACTGAGGCCCAGGAAGAGCTTACGTGCGCGGGGGTGGGGGGGGTGGCGGAAGGAATGTACGCTTTGGAAATAGCACTCCCCTGTTTCTATACAAGATACAGCTTCGATGCATAGGGAGCACTTTTTCGGGCACCTAGTGTGTGAAATACACTGTTGGACTCCAGACTGGCTGCCCAGTTATGACGATCGTTACGGTCTATCCACTGTGGCACCCCGGGCTCCCCGGATCGGCGCCCTGGATGTGATCGACACCATGAAGTTGCCCCATAATCCTCTCTGGCAACATAGGATGTAAAATTTGATCAGCTCATTGGATGCAAGCTGACAAGTCCCAAAAATGTGTGAAAAAGGGGCCAAGCGGTAGGCAAGCGCCGCGCGGAGAGGCAGCGCTCCAACCGCCGCTGCCCCCTCCCCCTGCGAGTTCTCTGTACGGCAGCCGCGGCGCTCGCGGGGGCTGGGGCCGATCGGTCAGCCTGCGGCGGCGGCGACAGCGAGGCCGAGGCGCCGTGAGGGGGCAGGAGGAGCGATCGGCGGGACCGGAAGGGGACTGCGCGGCGGCGCCGGCGGCTGCGGGGGTTATCTCCGTGGCTCCACAGAGTGTGCTCGCAGCGTTGCCGGGGGCCGGGCCGGCGGGGCGGGGCGGGGCGTGCACCCAGGCCGCGCTAGGCGCGCGCCGTAGCAATTGGCCTCATGGCCCCACCGCCCGCGCGCCCGCCCGGCGGCGCCCGCTGATGCGGCGGCGGAGGCGGTGGCGGCGGCGGCGGCGGCGGCGGCGGCGGCGGCGGCGGCGGCGGTGGCAACCGCCGCGGAAGGAGGAGGGGGATCCGCCAGCAGGAGGTGAGGTGGAGGTGGCCGAGCGAGCGGTGGTGGCGGAGGAGACGGTGGTGGAGGAGGCTCGCGGCCTGGAGGTGCAGGATGGAGGAGCAGCCGAAGGAGGGCGAGGCCGAGGTCGCGGAGCACTGGTTCTCCAAGTGGGAGCGCCAGTGCCTGGCCGAGGCCGAGCAGCAGCAGCAGCTGTGCCCCGAGCTGCAGGACGACGCGGCCGCCGACGCGGCGGGGCTCAAGAGCGAGCAACAGAGGCTCTGGCATCTTTTCCAGATCTCGGCCACCGCCGTGGCCCAGCTCTACAAGGATTCCGCCTGCCAACAGCCAGGACTGTCTATGTGGGACCCCTTCCAGAACGCGGCCATGGCCGTGACCAGCCTGTACAAAGAGAGCGGGCATGCCCACCAACGAAGTTTTGACCTGGGCGTCCAGGTTGGCTACCAGCGTCGCATCAAAGACGTACTGGAGTGGGTGAAGAAGGGCCGGAGCACCATCCGTCGCGAAGACCTCATTACCTTCCTCTGTGGCAAAGCGCCCCCCGCTGCTCCCCCCCAGCGCACCCCCAGGACGACCCCGAAGCCGTCGGCCGGGGTTGCCACGCAGGCTGCGGGCACCGAGTCCACTTCGTCGGTGGATGTCGACCTGCAGCCCTTCCAGGAGGCCATCGCCCTGCATGGCCTCAGTGGCGCGATGGCCAGCATCAGTGTACGATCCGGAGCGCCTGGGTCCCCTGCTCCAGACAGCGCGGTGGCCACCAGTGGGCGTCGAAAAAGTACCTTCCTTGAGGACGACCTGAACCCCTTTGGGGCAGAAGAACTGGCCCTCCGTCTGGAGAGTGGCAGCATCCGCAAGCGCTCCTCGGCCCAGTTCGGTGATGGCACCATAGACTCCCCGTCCCACAAGCGCAACCGATTGGTCTAGACTGCCCCGTTGCGTGCCCACCACCATCTTGCTTGACAGCTCACTTGACCTTCAACATGCTTGTCGAACGGCTACTGGGGATCATCTGTCTGCCTTCTCCAAGTTAAACAAAGCTTTCGGTCCGGTTTACCAGAAAGAAACTCCAAAAGTATTCCAGAGAATGGCTCGGCTGGCTGACTTTCCAACAAATATAATGATATTAGGGAACATCCGGTACCACCGAGTCAGCAAGACCGTGTGAAGCGAAGAAGTATGCAGTCAGAGCGGGAGCCTACTATATCTTGTGCATACCTATATTCCTTAGCACCTTGCACAGTTGCTGGTGCTCAAAATGTTTGTTGAATCTATTAATTTGACCTAATTAAAAATTCATAAAGGAGAGAGACACAGCAGGTGTTTACTTGCATATATAATCATTTTATCCTTCCTTGTTTTGGTTCTCCGCTTTAATGGTCTTTGCCAATTCAGTTACATTGTACCAAAATGTAAGATTAGACATCTTTGTGACTCTGGACTCTTCCGTTTGTGCCCCATTGTACATGCACCTAATTTCTAGAAATCTGTGGAAGTAATATATTTTAGGCTGTGATTTGTTTTGGAAAAAAATGATTGATGGCTTTGGTGATTATAATGGTGGGAAGAGGTGCCATAATGGTTGGGCTGGTAATACTTGATGTTGGGTAGATTTGATGCTCTCTTGAGGAAAATGAAACTAAAACCAGCAGTTGAGATCCTGATGAAATAACATGGTGTTCCCGGAGGCCCGATTGGTGCTCCTTTTTTTTCCCCTTAGGAATGTAAAAATTCTTTTCTCTGAAATTACATCTTTTTTTTTTTTTCTGGTGATCTCTGTTTTCAAGTTGAAGGCCAGTGAATCACAATGAACTTCTGGGTTTTCAGAGGAAAGCATGGGATAACTAAAACAAAATGAGCTTTGTATTTAGAAACACCAATACTGGAATCATAACTCTACAAAGTAATTGTATGGTTTTGGGCAAGTCACTTAATATCCATTGGCCTCAGTTTTTATCTGTATAATGAAACTATGTATTATTAGGGTCATTGTGAATACCAGATGAAGTCTATATTTCAAGTATCTAGTATAATGCTTGGTACCTAGGAGTACTCATGTTCTCCCTGTATAAATAAAAATCCGTGAAACATTAAAGTCCAAATATTTTAGCAAAACAGATCAACCTAGAAACCATCAAGCAGAACCTCTGTGTTAGAGGTGGAAGGACTGTTACCCAGTTAAAACTTGCCTAAATATCAAAGTACGTGTTATACTTATGTGGAGGTCATGACTCTGTATCACCTGTCTAGAGTCTAGGGAATCTTTAGAATTCTGGAAATGTACTCATCAGTACACATTACAACCAGCAGTAATGAAAGATCTATCTTTTCTGCCCTAAAAGAATATGGAAAGGGAGATAATTATGGGAAGAATTTGTAAGTGAATGTAGCAGGGCATGTAAACTGCTAAAAATGCTTTTGAGTAAGGGTGAGGTGTAGCACAGATGATGGAGAGGTACAGCCAGTGGATTGGGGATGGAAGAGATAGGATTAAGATTATGCAAGAATAGGAGGAAGTTGAAAAGCCCAAGTCTCCCCCCAGAATTTTCCAGCTAGTGCATAAAAATTCACACATAGATTACTAAGCAATCTTGTGTTTATGTTTACATCACAGAGTTATTTCTGCTTTTATTAGCATGACCTTTGAAGGAAATTTGTAATTGACCAGCACATGAAACTACTACAAAAACATCAAGTGAATTCCCTGATACGGAACAATTTCATATTGCACCCTGTAAAAACTGAGGCAATCTTAGGTCCTAAGAAGCCACTTTAAAAAAAATCATAAAACACTCTTTATTCTCAAAGAATTCATCCTGCTTTGGAAGATAAATTATGTAGCCAAGGATGCATTTCTGCCTTAGGGAAAGCACCCAAGGTCGATGCAGAATTCAAAGAACAGAAGCTCTTCTTGCTGAGAGGGTCACAGTGCCTGCAAGAAGTAACATTTAAACTGAGTTCAGAAATCCCTGGGCAGGAAGCTCTTCTTCCAACAGAGGGAGAGTATCTAAGGATGTCTGAGGACAGAGTGAGTAGAGGAAGTAGGGCCAAAATATAGAGGGACTCCAGTGCCTGACTTAGTGGTTTAGTTCTGTCTTGGGGCAGAGGGTGAGGTGATGCCACACCAACTGTAGTCTGGGAAGACTGATTTGGCAGGGGGATCAGCTTGTCCAAAAAGAAGGTACTGGAGCAGAGGCAGCACAACTTACACTCAGAAAATGCTCTTCCCTGGGGACTTTACCCTCTGGTTAAGCCAGATTAAGGAGATGGATGATTTGACAGAGCTTTCCCTACAAAGGCTTTGGTTTACCCCACCCTCTCAAGACACACAGCCTACAAGGTATGAAGCACCTCCAGTGGTGCTCTACAGTGCATGTGGAAAGCTAAGAAAGCCTCCAGGTCCACTTATGAGTCTCACTCAGAGCAATTCTTCTGGTTCATTCTTCCTGCTTCCAGTACAGGATGCCCCTCCTCTAGTGGAATGGTTGGGGCGCTCTGTGCTACAGGTTTGAGTGGCCACTACAATGTTAACAGGTAACTGTAGTGAGAGTTGTGACAAGGCGAGTCAATGTGAAGGCAGGGATGTTGTTGGTCTCATTTACCTCTGTAATTCCCCGTGCCTAGTACTAGTACTGTGTCTGGCCTATATGGGCACAAGATAACTATTTGTGAAATGAGTGGATGAGTACAGCCCCATCCAGATCAGGCATGGCCACGCCCCTTTCCCAAATCTCTTCCTTGCTTCTCAGGAAACACACCTGAAGCGCATGTCCTAATTCCTTAGATGACTGCCACCTGCATATGTTTGCCATCATTCCCTGCTATTACATTGTTTGTGCCAGGAGCTTGTGAAACGGGCAGCTTTAGAACCATTCTCCAGCGGAATTCATCTCTCAGGGGAAGGGTCTGCAAAGCTACCTGCCTTCAGGAGGTGGTCTCGGTAATTAGGATGAAAGATGAAGTCTGCAAATCAGCGCTGACCCTGACTGTGAGATTCGTGATTGAGTCAAGGATTTAATTTCTCATTCCTCATTGTTAGAGAGCTTTTTGTGGAGGCCTAAACAAAAATCTCCCGATTTCTGATTATTATCTTGTCATTCGGCACATTTCCTCTGGAGGAGTACGCATCAGGCAAAGGCAAAAACTAGTTAAGAGATAAAAAAGAAAAAAGAAATGCTCTCATTTTCTTCCTTTTATACATCCCCGAGAGAAGGCTCTGATTTCCTCAGCTCTAGCTGACTATTTCCTCCATCAGACCACTGCTTTCTAATGAAATTAGAGTCCACTGATAGGAAATGTTACTGTTCAGATCATGTCGTGGTTTATGAAGTGATGATGCACTGCTGGGGGGAGGGGGAGAGGGGAAGGAGGGCTGGTTCCTCATCACCACTCTGCTGTAGTAAGCATAGACTTTTTGCAGTGTTGGGTTTTCTTTGGGGTTACTGTTGAGATTGCTCATTCGGGGAGCCCTTGCCCTTGCTACCACTCTAGACACCAATTAAACTGGATCACTTCCAGTTTCCTGAACTTTCGATCATCTCTATCTCTATGGCTTTTACCTGGGAGCTACCTTGGTCGGGAATGCTATCGGCCTCCCATGTTTTTCCACCTCAGTGCTCCTCAGCCTCAAGTATCTGCTCCTATGCTTTCCTTATTTTCATTTCATTTCATTTTATTCATTATTATTTTGTTGCTTGGTTATCTGGCTTGCCTTCCCAAGACAGAATTAAACATTTCCTTTTCATAAAAGTCCCCGCTTTGGGACTCATGATTTGAATCATCAGTTTGGCATTGTCCTGCACCAGTAGATGTTAATCATTCATTCCTATCCCCAGGGACTCACATCCCTCAATAGGTTGGTGAGGATCTCCAGGATTGCACGCATAGGTTGGAAAAAGTGCATGCTCACTGTTATACTATACTTGGATGTTGTGAATGAAAACTTCTTTGCCACAAACTTTATAATTAGGGAAAGGAAAGCTCAAAATGAAACTTCAAAGAAACGGGTGTATTCTAAGAGTGACTAAATATGCTCCTCCAAAAAAGTGTAGCAAATGATCACTTTCTCATTTGGAGACAAGATTGCAATGCCTCAGACACTGATAGCAAGCACCAGGGATTAAACCTTGACTTTTCAGTTAATTGACCTTGAAAAACTTCGGTTTCTTTTTGGGAGCCATTTGATATTTAATATATGAAACAAAAGACTTCTCTTTCTCACAGGATTGTGAAAGTTCCCACAAGTTCTGCATTCTAATCTGTGGTTATAATTTGATAGTAGGCTTAGTGCTAACTTTTCTATGATATTCTCATTTAAATAATTTAGCATCTGACTAGTTAAGCTCTATGATTTCCTTGTAATACAGACACCACACTGGAGCAACTCCAAGCTAGAAGATTCTCAAGGTGGGAAGGGCTGGGCTACTTATAGGTTGAGAACACATATGAACTGTTTTTTGTTGTTGTTGTTTTGGTTCCATTGTTCTCAGCAGGGCTACAGTGAAAACTCTGACTGCTTAAAGGCATGTAACAGCCAAATGAACTCTTGTTCAGGCACTTTTCTAAAAATCCTAAATTTCATAGCCAGATGAGCCTTAAGCTCAATGGACTAGAGGGGGAATTGGAGAACTAGCAACTCTCCATCTCAACTCTGGGGAAAACTGAAATGGAAACCATCCTGATCATGAACTTCTTTCCTCATATACAAGAGCATTTTTTGTTGTAGACAAGTTGACACCTCTTTAGAGTAAGCCTTCTGCCTTTTGTTATGGTACTTGGGCTTGAACTCAAGGTCTTGAACTTACTATGCAGGTGCTCTACCACTGAGCCACTCTGCCAGGCCTTTTGGTGTTGGGTCATTTTTTCAGATGGAGCCCTGACTGCAATCCTCCTGTTTCCTTTGTAGCTGGAATGACAGGTCTTTACCACCACTCCCACCATTGTGCTTCTCCTATAACTGAGATGACAATGCATCCAGTCATTGGTTGATATGGAGTCTCAAACATTTTTTTGCGGGGGGGGGGGGAGTGTTCAGGATGGCCTCAAACCACATCCCACAAGTAGCTAGGATTAGAGGCTTGAGCCAGGCCTGTCTCTTCCTTCTTTTTTCAACATTATCATAACCAAACTGTGGCTACAGATGTTAAAAAAAAACAACCTACTGTTTTCTTGTAGTTTACAGGATGGAGCTGAGAAACTCCAGGGCTTGCATATGCTAGGCAAGTGCTCTAGCATTGAGTTGCATACTCCTGTCCTTTTTAAAAGAAAATTTCCAACCTCCAGGTTGGATGCGATGCATTTTGTTTCTATGTTTCCTAATACACAAACTATGTTCCCTGCCCCCAAACTCCACATATGGCATATATTATATTGTATGTCTTACATTTACTTTTCTACCCAGCTGCAATTTTCACATTCTTCTCGAAATCCCAGGCTTTATTGACACCAGAATCCAACTTTGTGTTCAAGTGTGAATATGTGAAATTGGAAGCTTATGGGAAAGTTGGGGGAAAATGTAGGGTCATTAAGAAAATCATGTGCCAAACCATGCGGGAGCCTCTTAAATACAACTTTGGTGGTCATGACCCTGGCCGGAGGGGAGAGTCTGTGATGTCACTTCTTCCTCGAGGCCCAGTTTCACGGATAGTATCTCTGAATGGAATTGTCTGAGGGAGATTGTTCCTTGTGAAAAGTTCACATGATAGAGTTTGAAGAGCTTGTTTTACTCAGAGCTCAGCAGGACAGAATGGTTTGGAATGCAGTATTCTGTGTGTTCTGTTTGGCTGAAAGCTGTCAGAGGGAACAAGTATTTAGCAAACAGCATGAACAAGGATTTGAACTAGAAAACGAGATGGGCCTTGACAACATTGTAATAGTGGCTTGTGTCCTTAAAAACTGCTCAGTGGTTCGCAAGGAGGTGATAAAAGATGACTAGAAAAATAGATAAATAGATTTGGGCATTAATCAAAACAACCGGATGGGAGAATGTTCTCGTATGGGTAAAGTTTGAATAGAAGTTGTTGCTCACTGCAAC